TCTCTAATCCATTCTCTTTCATAAAGTCTATTTTAGTTTATGAGTAAATCCTATGTTAGTTCTTCAGCAATAGAACCAGAAGTTCACCCAGTCTGTTTAAGAGCTTACATTTTACCCTCTGGCTGATTTTTTTAAGCAGAAATATTTCATCATCAGATCTTTGCCTTGGAAAGAAAATTCTGACCATCAGATGTAAGGCAGCTGTGATATTCCAGACAAGACATGACAAAGGCCAAAGCTAAAGCAACTGGAGTGAGAATGAAGTGTAGGAGAACTGGAGAAGTGGGGGTTCCCTTCCAGACATGATGACTGAATATGGGGAGAGAGATTTGTGGGGTTCCAAAACAACTCCCTCCCTTGGCTTTAGAAAACTAAATGATGGAGATGCCCCTCATTAAGGCAGAAAATAATAGTAGGCGAAAATAATGTGATTGATATGATCATGAAGGAGAGATTTTGACACAGAACCATTTCTCCTCTTGTTCCCTTAGGGTCCACTGGGTTTCCCCAATCTGTTTCTTTGCTGCCCTCCCAAAGGACGACAAGCCCTGACAAAGTCCAGTCACTCTGAGTACACTACTGACTCTTAGCTCTGGCCACAAGAAGACTATGTGTTTAGCAAGGGCTTTGCTAATGACAGGATTTCACCAGAATGTCTGTGGGCAGCTTCATGACTCCTGATGAAGACCATTCTCTCCTCTGCTGATGGCACCGCAGGGGTGGTAGAGCAGCAGCTCATGCTCCCTGTCCTCTGCTTCAGAAAGGGTGGGGACACCATTCCTTTGCAGATTTTTTTCAACCTGGTGATTTTCACAAATAGGTCATGACCAGCCACCAGGCTAAAGACTCAAGCCTGAACATCCTCAGTTGGCACCATCCAGAAGACCCACTGCTCTACCCTCCACCAAGGGACACCTCTCACTACTGAAAACCCAGAGTGGCAGCAGAAGCTGGTTCCATCACTGAGAGGGTTTTTGACAACTCTGGCTCAGAAAGAGCAGGTGTGGGGTCAGTGAGATAGCTCAGCGGACTAAGCATATGCTTAGGCAAGCACAGGAACTGGGATTCAATCCCCGGCACCGCATGCTGAGCAGGCCTCCCCTGGAGTATGCTGAGCCAGCCACCTAGACCAGGCATGGTGGAACATGCCTGTAATCCCAGCACTAGGGAAGCTGAAAACAGGAGGATTACTATGAGTTCAAGCTATGTAGTGAGATCCTGTACCAAATACAAGGAAGGAAGGAAGAAAGGAAGAAAGGCAGGAAGGAAGGAAGGACGGGAGGAAGGAAGGAAGGAAGGACGGACGGAAGGAAGGAAGGAAGGAGAAAGAAAGAAAAATAATGAAAAAGAAAGAAAGGAAGGAAGGAAGGAAGAGAGAGTGTGTGTGTGTGTGTGTATGAATCTGATCCCAGGTAGAAAAGCCTTAGAATAAGATGCCCTGGTTCCCTAAGCCTAGAGAGGACAAAATGCAGCCTGAGCTGAAGCTGGCATGGCCAGAATGGAACAGTGCTCCCTTGACAGTGACCTAAAACAACAAACAGGTATTATTCCACTTAGCTCCTGGGCATCAAGAACCCAGGGGCAGCCTACCTGCATGGTTCTGGCTCAAGGCCTCTCATGAAGTTGTACTCATGCTGTTGGCCAGTTGTCCATGCAGCTGCTCTCCCAGGAGTTGTGCATGACTGTTGGCTTTGCCTAGACACAGAAGAGAGGGAGGCAGAGAGGCAGAGAAACAGGTGACTGCTGGAATACAATTTAATCTCAGAAATACATGCCATCACTTCTGTCATATTCTATTGGTAACACAGTTCTACATGATATGAGAGAAGGTACAGGGATCTTTGGGCTGTCTTGGAGGACAGCTACATGCTCTGGAAGTTCCTGCTAAATGCCAGAAGGAAAGTCAGTCCAACCTTTGAGCCTTCCTTCCATTGTTTGTTCTAACTTTATCATACTGCAAGAAACTTTGTGAACTCACAATGTCTGTATTTTTATTTATTTTTTATTTTTATTTTTATTTTTTTGGCGGAACCAGGTATTGAACTCAGGCCCTTGTGCTTGCCAAGCAAGGGCTTATTCTATTGAGCCATCTCCCCGGCCCCAATGTCTGTATTTTGATCTCCAGGGAGCCCAGCATTTCATTCTATTCCTAAACACTTCACATGCAACTCAGCACTCCTAATACATCTTCAATTGTGTTGAGCCTCAACACAATGCAGTTCAGCACTTTATCATTTGCCACACACTTATATGGCTTTCCCAACCAGACTGTAGGCTCCTCAGGAGAACAAACCATATGTCTTCTTTTATTTGTAAGGGACCACAGCAGCAAGCCTGATGTTAGACACATGGTGGTTGTTTAATCAAGAGTTATTCACCAACTAACTGACTTAGAGGCCCTCTTCAAAGCCTCCTCTTTATAGTCTGGGAATTTGAGGAGTCAGCAAGGAAAACTTGGTCAGATGAATCATCGGTCAAATCCAAGGCAAAACTCCATAGGCAGCTGCTTATCCCCGCTGAGGAAAGAAGGCCAGCTCTTAGTTCCAGGCATGGAGGCCGCCTGCTGCGCTTAGCAGAGGCCAATGATCAAACCTGCCCTGAGCTGAGCCGCCCAATAACTCACGAGGCTTTTGAAGACTTTGTTCAGGATGCCCAGGGCTGGTTGCATGCACTCTTCCAGGTGGGAACTCCAAGAGGGCATAGTTCCTAACAAGCACAGCTTCCTCTTCAATCCCTCCATGATCTGTAAACTGGTTCTGAAATGGGAGGTTGGTTCCTCTGCAGAGCAACGACAGGGCCACTTGCTGTGCACAGTGTTACCAGCACACACCAGTAAATCCGGGGATCTGAGTCTAGTCTGCTTCTTAGCACTCGATGACATGACAGCCCGTGATCTGAGAAGATGTCAGGAGTCCAGTGCTGGCGCAATCATGGTGCCAGTCACTGGTGCTGTTTGACAGGCTAAGCAGTAACACCAGTATCTCAGGTTGGAATTGGGGAGGACAGTCCCCGCCCCACTCCCGCCTGCTTTTCACCTGCCTTGGGTTTATCTAAGGTTAATGCGTGCCTACCATTCG